TAGAAGACGAATACAAAGAATATATAGAACAAATTGAACACATTGAAGAATTAAAAGAAGAAGAAAAACAACAATATCAACTAAAACTATCCAAACAATTAGAAGATCAAGAACAATGGGAGGAAATGCTTTTACAAAATCTAATAACACTTTCTGAAAAACAATCGGATCAGGTAAGATTTAATATATATCTTTTGAAATCATTGATCTCATTACTAGGATTTATATCAATTACAACAAGAAAATAATTCTTTTGAATATCTCAAATACATGTCTCGTCATAGTAAAAGAAAATAACATATACTAATACTTTGATTTAAATGATACTAATTAGCAACATTATGTAATCTTACTTATTATTATTATTATATATTGGTTCTTATTTTCTATCTTGTCATTGATCTACAATCTATATCATTTCATTTCCTTTTAAATAAAAACGACAAAAAAAGCTATAATAAGCCAGAACATATGACATGACTTATTGTGGTTTTCTATCCATTGATGTTTTAATATCTATTTCTATTGTAGATTTATTATACTCAATAAAGTAATCATTTATAAGGAGAACTATTGTCTTCTACAATAACAACAACAACAAAAAATGGACAATGATCCTCAAGATAAGAACAATAACAACAACAACAACTTATCATTGTTGGTAGAACATCAATGTACATTTGTATTGGCAAGAACAGATATAGAAAAATCACATTTTCGAGTTATTCAACAAGCTTTAAACAAATTAAATATACGAGTAACAGCAGTTCGTCAAAGTAATGTGCTCTATATTTGTCATGATGAACATTGGCGAAAAGAATCAAATAATTACATGGAACAAATAGGTGTTTTTGTCTTACTTAAAGAATTTATAGATACATTGAATAATGATTATGAAAATGTTTTTAAAACTATGAGTGATAAAATAGTTTCAACATTACATCATTTATTCCTTCGCAAAGCAATCACCACTGAACAATATGAACAAATGATGTATTTCAATCAAGTACCAACACATCGATTCAATAAACTGTATTTTATTCCAGAAGTGTGCCATGTAAACGAACATTATTTATTTTTATACTTCTTTTTAATATCTTTATTTTGTAGAAAGAAATCATTTTACAACCAATGTTAACATCGTTTGTACAAGAACCTATGAAAGCTATTGCACGTTTTCTCAATATTCTTCTTGGACCAATATATAAACGAATAACTCGTTCTATTTCATTTACTAGTCCAACAGATGCAATTCAAGCATTTGAAAAATATGCTCAACAAGGTTTTCTTCGATCAACTACTCTATTCGTTACAATTCAAATTCATGATTTTTCTACAATATTTTCTCATGATTTCATGATTGAGGCATTAAAACATTTCCTTCAAAATCACGTACCAAACGAGCAAATTCAAGGTATATCCACAACGACGATTGTTCAATTAGTTCAACTTATTCTTCGAAATCAGTATTTTCTCTATGAAAATAAATTATATCAACAAATTGCTGGTGCTCCGTCCAACACTCAATTGACACAAACATTGGCAAATATTTATCTATTTTATTTACAACAGGATTTTGTTTCACTATTAAATAATAAGAAAGAAATTTTTGGTCGATGTCTCAATCATATGATTTTTACATGGAATGAATCCAAAGATGAACTTCAAATGTTACTTAATCAAAATATTATGGACCATTTTAAAACTTCACATATTCGTATAACAACTGATATTGGTCATGAAATTCATTATTTTGATGCGAAAATTGCTCATGATGAAGGTATTCTTCAAACAAATGTATATCATAAACCAAATATTGAACCATATGCATTACCGTATGTTTACGATACAACACAACGACAAGATCATTTATTTCTATTACGAGCTGCTCTTATACGTGCTACACTTTATTGTTCAAATCTAGATGAATTTGAAAATGAACGATTTTACATCGAATTATCTTTTCTTATTAATGACGTATCATTGGATTTTATTCAAGAAACAAGTCGAAATTTTTTCAATGAGTTCTATGCATATGGCATTAATATGCATCTCGATGAAGCAATTTATCGTGTTTTCCGTCAAAACGTTCACGAATATCATCGAAAACGAACTAAAACTCATACACGACAGAAAAAAACAACGGCAAAAACGACGACAATTACAAATTGTACCAACGAATTAAAATAATCAACATCTTGTGTGTGTGCTTCTTCTTGTAGTTAAATATTTATTTCTTTGCTCTTCTCTATTAGGAACATAGCTGTATAGTATTCACCTTACTTTTAAATTCATTAGGATTTATTAACACATCATTTTTCTTTTTCTTTTTGATTTCAGATCATTATAAAAATGAATAACACTATCAATATAATTGATGAAAATAATTCTAACAACATTATTATTCATACAAACTCATCATCTGCAGAAAACGAAGAAGAAGATAAAAACAAAACAAATCCATTGTTATTATTGATTAATCAAGTAGGATTAATTATACGATAAAATATATTGTGATATTCACTTGTGTGCTCGTTGAACTTAGATGTTGATGGGAACTAAAATGAACAATGACAAGAAAAATGAAGAAGATAGAGAAGCTATTGCCGTAGATTATTGGAATATGTCTGATGCTGAATTTAAACAACGACTTCTTACGAGTGTCAAAAATGACATACATCGTAAAGCAAAAATTCAACAATGGTTAGAAGTAGATCCTACTTTATTACAATTAGGTCGACAATATAGTTATTTGATTGCAAATGTTTATGCATTGAAAATGGAACAAGATTTTTGGAAAACTTATCAAGGTCATACACGTATCGAAGCTCTTTGGTTATCACAAATGTCAAAGCCTATGCTTAAACGCAATAATATTAGTGAAGCATTTTTTAAAACAGAAATTTTATGAATCATCATCTGAAAAAAATTGAAAAACAGTTACGAAAAGCCATCGAAAAGTTAGATGAACATTTGCAAAAACAAGAAGAAGGACAACTTTTCAAATTGTCTACTATAAATAAAACACTATTCTCTGCAGCCATTATTGCATTAGTACGACAAGATCAATCATTATTATATACGAAATATGAAAAGCACACTTCCGAATTAATGTTAAATGTAAATGATATTCGTCTCGTTAAAGGATTCTATGATCTAAAACCAAATGATATACAGGTATTATTATTTTTCCCTTCTTTTGAAATCATATTAAAACTCAGAATACTAACGTTTATGTGATAAGGACATGTATATCTTACTTTCTATACCAATTATAATTTGAAATTCTTCTTATATATGTTTTAGATTAGATATGCTGCAAGCATTTGGAAAACAATGATCTACGAAGAATACATGAAAAAAGAACTTACGAATGCCAAAAGACATTTGCTCGATGATAACAAAAGTGAACTTTACTCTATGTTAGAAAAGCTTATGGTTGATATGACACCTATAATATCAACCATTAGAGAATTTAA